TTTCTTTCTTTCTTTCTTTCTTTCTTTCTTTCTTTCTTTCTTTCTTTTCTTTTTTTTTTTTTTTCTCGATATGGGGTTTCTCTGTTGTAGCCTTGACTGTCCTTAACTCACTTTGTAGACCAGACTGGCCCTGAACTCACAGCAGTCCACCTACCGCTGCCTCCCAGAGTGCTGAGCTTTGTTTCTCATTTTTAAAGATTTTTTTTTCTTTTTCTTTTTTTTTGGGGGGGGAGTGGGGTGGGGTGGGGTGGGGTTGGTTTAGTTTGTTTTCTTTTGTTATTGTTTTTGGGTTTTTTGTTTTGTTTTGTTTTTTGAGTGAGGATTTTGCTGTGTAGCCTTGGGTGTCCTGGACTTGTTTTGTAGACCAGGCTGGTTTCACACTCAGAGATCTGCCTGCCTCGGCCTCCCTGAGTGCTGGGCTTACAGGTGTGCGCCACCACTGCCTGGTTTAAAGATTATTTAAGAATTATTTATGTGTGTGCATGCATGTCTGTACGAGTGACTGCCACGATGTTTTCTGAGGGCGCACGGAGACCGGAGCAGCCTGTCAGATTCCCTGAAACAGTGGTCACCGCTGGTTGTGAGCCGCCTGGGATTGGTCCTGGGAACCAGATCTGGGTTTTCAGCAAGAGCAGCAAGCACTGGTAACAGTTGGGACATCTCTCCAGCCAGCCTTTTTCTTTTCTTTTTCCCCTTTGAGAAAAGCTCCCTCCATGTAGGCACAGCCCTGGCAGGTTTGGAACCCCCTGTAGAGACCAGGCAGGCCTATATCCGCCTTCTTGTGACTCCTGAGTGCTGGGATCAAAGGTGTGTACCAAGCTCCTTGTCCCCAATGGTACACCAAAGAGGACTTCTTTCTTTTGGCAACTTTTTTTTTTTTTTTTTTTGAGCTAAGCGCTCACTATGTCAGCCTGGCTGGCCTAGAGCACACTAAGTAGACCAGGCTGGCCTCAAAACCCCCCGAGCTCGCCTTCCTTTGCCTTTGGAGTGCTGGGATCAAAGGTGTGACTGCGGTGCCCTGCTGTCTTTTGGCTGTCTCCTCAATGTGAAGTGGTTTAAAATGTAAAGCGTTGTTGAATGTTTCTTTTGTCACATGGAGTGTCAGGTATCCCAGGCTTCGACGGCAACACGGCAATACAGATCCTGTGAGTGCTGGCACGGCAGGTGTGTACCACCACTTGCCAAGAGCTGTTGATTTTTAAAGTTTTCTTTGTGGTGCTCAGGCTTGTGGAGAGTGGGCAGGTGCTCTACCACTGAGCCACACCCCAGCCCCTCACTGGGGAATTCTAGGCAGGGGCTCTACCACTGAGCCACACCCCAGCCCCTCACT